ATTTATCCTCAACTTTTAGTATAAGACAGAAACTAATAGGGATATAAAAACAAAGATAAATTGGACACAAATCTAAAATCAACAATCACAACTTTTAGTTGAGATTGTATAATGCACCATTTTTTGTGATTGTTGGTAGGACCTAACTAAAACAATACATGCATTGTTTTACACTTTGACACTTCCAAATATTGTATTGTGCACAATACATGTATTCAATAAACACAACTCTAATAATCACAACGATACCTTAATCTTTCACATGTCTCGGTGATTCGAACAATAATTGAGGACAAAGAATATTATGGTGGGGGAATGATCACCATCATTTTTAATTTCTCAGTCACCAGCCAACAATATAGCTCCAGTCGTACAAAAATTCAGAATTGCTCCAATAGTATTGTTTTTTGTTGTTTGTAGGGGTAGGGGTGGAAGTTTGATTTGCGGATTGCGGGTAATCCGCAAACCGCATACATTGTGGGTAATCATACCTACAATTTGTGGATAGTGGGTTGGATGTGGGTAGCAAAATATTGATTTTTGTGGTTAGTGGTTAACCACTATCCACAGCGGTTAACCCACAATAACCACACTAAGTATATTTATTTATTAATATACCTTGTAATATTAAATTATGTGAAAAGTAGAATGCTACAAATTAAAGTAGGCTCCAAAATCAAATATGTATTTATTTAATAAAACAAAACCAAGCCAATTCACCGTGTTCGTATGAGATACTTTTATTAAATAAGCATTTTCTGCGTGGTATATGTTTATTTTATAACAAAACAAAGACAATAAATGTGGTTTATAGTTTATTTAACATTTTATTAACTTTCTTTTATGTAGGCTTTTGTTTTTGTGCAAGAGGACGCTAATTCCGCAACTTGGGAGAGAATTTCATTTATCCCTAAAAGTTCGAATAAAAAAGCAAAGGAGTCATGCCGTTGATAATGATGCAATGTATATTTAGATTAGATCCCTCCAACCCATACTCGTTATCAATATGCATTTCCTAAAGAAAGTAAGTGAGTGAAGTGAACAGAGGAGAGGGAGGTTGACTATTTATGACGTTCCGAATACCGTACCCTCGCTCGTTCCATGTCTTGGGCTTCTTTACTTAGTTTTAACTCAATGTGTTTTTTTTCCCTTCACTCGACCAATAGGTTTGCATATACGAGTCCAAAGGGTGAAAGAAGGAAATTTTTTGTGGGTATCCACATCCAACCCGCACCAACCCGCAGTGGGTAGTGGTTAGGATAGTGGTTAACCACTACCCACTGTGGGGCGGGTTGTGGGTAGCATAATTCTAAACTTGTGGGTGTGGTTACCCACAAAATGTGGGACGGGTACCCACACCCACCCCAATTTCCACCCCTATGTAGGGGGTGTTCAAATTGAGTGGTTATTGTTTTAATCGGTAGTATTTGGCTAATTTGGTTTAATTAATTTGGATTATTGGTTTGGTTTGGTAAAATTTTTTTAACTTGTTTGGTTTAGGTGGTTTAGTTTGGTTCCAGGCACTCCTAACCAATCAAACCAAATTAACCAAGTAAGTAATTAGGCATATATCTAATATATATTAGATATATACATACTTAATACTTTGCATAATCACTCAAGAGTCAAGAGCCAAACATTCATCCATTTTAGGTTCATTAAAATAAAAGCTCAATATTGCTCTTGTATTGTATATTTGTATTTGTAGAGTCTGGAACACAACATATGGATGCCTAATTTAGATAAAAACACATACATTATATTCGATGAAAACTTGAAAGGAAGGTCTTTTTAGTCAATAATAATTGTCATGAGACTAAGTCAATTCACACAATAATAATTGCGTGGATTTTTGTTAGGAGAATACTTTTATCGATTGTAAGATAATTGTATAGTTGCATGTATTTATGTTAAGGATTAACTAAAATTATGTGTTGATTGTTATGTTTTATTCATTATATAAATTGTGAATTGATGTATTAGCCAAAAAAATTTCTAACTTAATGTTAATGTGATGATATATTGGTTAATCTGGTTAACCGATTAAACTTTAGTTTGGTTAGTTTAGTTGTTGTATTAGTTTGGACGGTTTGGTTATGATATTATATTCCATGGTTAGTAGAATTTATGCTTATTTGGTTTGGTAATTACCATGGTAACCATTTGAACACCCCTAGTTGTTTGATGATTCTTAATTTGGAGCTTCAATCTTTTAATAAGTTGATGTTTGTTAAGAATTAAGTGATACAAAAAACTCGAGTTGTTGAGAGAGGTTCAATAATAGGAGCAGTTCTGGTCAATAATTATATGGTCAATAATCATGCATAACCTGGCACATCACCATTTCTGGAAGGCCTTTAACATTTTCTCCTGTAAATTTTAACTAGCCGTATCTCTTTTTTTGGGTGTCTGCATGGCTGCGAGTTCGGAGAACCCAACTACATTGCCTAACTGTATCTCTTTTGTTTTAAGTCATAATTTATTTTTTGGATGAGAGATTTGAAGACTAATTCCTCAAAACCAAATCTCGTATCCAAACAACAACAAACCAGGGTGAAGACTCAAAGTCCTCTTGGCCCAAGCTAAATTGTGAGCTCGCATCGGAAGCTCAATGCACATATACATGAGCGTAAAGCCCAATTCTCTAAATTTGTGCATTAAGCTTCCATTGTCCATTCTCGATCCATCCGAGCTCGAAAGTGTGTTGTGGGCCTCTTGTACCGGACTATGATCTAGTTCGATTATTGCAGATAGGGGTGGGCAACGGGACGGGACGGGATACCCGTCCCATTTTAAACGGGTACCCAGTCCCATTTAAAGACTAAAGTCCATCCCATATCCCAAACCCATATGGGAAACGGGTACCCATTACCCGTACGGGACGGATAACGGGTACCCATACTACCCATAAATACCCAAAGTTTAAACCACTAACAAGGAACTCAATACTCTTAATCATCACCTGACGGCTACGGTAGGCGTGGAAAGGAGGAGCAGGCGCGTAGTGGAATGGAGCCGTGGGCGCGTCTCGTGTGGAATGGCTGCTGATCGACACCTCGACGGTCACGGAGTGGAATGGAGGCACAAGCGCAACAGAGTGAGAAGGAGCTATTGAATATTTGAATGGAGGCGGTGCAGAGGAGAGGGACTGAGAGGGAGAGCTCAGAGGAGAGGACGACCGCAGCGGTGAATGAAGGAAGGCGAGCTAGATCACGGCGTCACGTTCGCGGCTCGTCAGTCGTCTCTACTCTCTCGACTCGAAGACAACTCGTCCAGACTCCAGAGAAGCTGCGTCTCACTGAAAGAGTGAAAGGGTAAGGGCCCAAATGGAATTGAAATTGAAAGGGTAAGGGCTGGCCAATGGGTTCTGAATTGGGTTGGGCTGAAATAAATTTCTGGCTTTGTATTGAATGGGTATAACGGGTACCCATATTACCCAAACGAGTATTCGCGGGTAACCCGCGGGTACCCATATTAGGAATGTACAATCCCAAGTCCCATCCGTTTATAATATTACGGGTAATATGGGTACCCATAACCCTTAAAAAACGGGACGGGTACGGGTATACCCAAATACCCGTTTTCCGTTGCCCACCCCTAATTGCAGACGTAATAGGGTTTTTTGGGGGGGTAATAATAGGGTATTTTTTTAGGAAATGTTAAGCAAAGCGTTAAAGTATTGCTTTATCATTGAAATTTTGAGACAAAATTAAGGTTCAAGAAGGCGCTAGGCATAAAACAAGCGTCAAGGCCTTGTCTAAGTGTGTCTAGACGTTGGAAGAAAATATTTATTTACACTGCATAATGAATGAAATAATAACTTACAACACTTTCTTACTTTAGTTAAAATCATTAAGAACTTACTTAACACCAAATGATAAGAGAATTGCTCACAAATTAATAGAATCATAGCTCACAGTGTTCTTGAGCTATTGAAAATCCTGAGATAGAAAATTGACTTCAAAATTGATGTTAATTTCCTCTAATATTGACTATCTATCTCCATCTAATTATGTTTAGGAGACACTTAAGGTCTCAGCTTACACTGTAGACGTGTTTCCAGTACCTAATTAGGCACGAAACCCCTAGACAAGGCGTTTTGGCTAGGGATGGCAATGGGGCGGGTTTGGCTAAACCATCTCCATCCCCATCTTAAAATACCCAAACCCATACCCGCCCCATACCCATGCGGGAAATGTTTTGCAAACCCATCCCATACCCGTGGGTTTCGGGTACCCATGGGTAATACCCGTACCCGTACATCCAACATTATTATGCTTAAAACTTACAAGAAAAGTTTTAACTATAACTCACGAACCTATTATATCACAAAGTCAACAAAACACACTCATTTTCTTAATACGGTTCAAAGAATATGATCCTAAAACATTCTTTAATACATAATATAGAGTATAATATTTTCAAATTATTATGTTCTCACTCTGATACATCTACTAAGTAATAAATAACTAACATAATCTTATTGACAAGGGGAAAAGTGAAAGAGTGAAAGGAGAATTGAGGGAAATGAATTAGGTTTTCATTAAGGTGGTCACTCAATTGCATTTGTATTATTTATTTCCTCAAGTTATCCTCATCACCATTGATAGATTACAATTTGATCCACATATTTTTGTATATGTGAAGAAATTCTCTTGGCGGGGCGGGTATGGGTATGGGGCGGGGGAGGCTAAAACCATACCCGCCTCATACCCATCAAACTTTTTGCGGGTTTTACCCATACCCGGTCAAAGCGGGAATTCCCCGCGTTGACTGGGTCGGAGGCGGTCGGGTACCCGCGACCATGGGTTTGATTGCCATCCCTAGCTTTGGCATTGCCTAGCGCCTAGGCGTGCCTAAGCATAAGGTCAAGGGTACCTTTTTGAACCATGAATAAAATAAAAGAATCATTCACTTCCTTCCTTGTTGCTCGTTCGATGAAGTTTAGTGAACATGAATACAAAATCTCACTATAATATTAAGATTCACCAAACATCAAAGCATACATATTATGTGTTCATACTGAACCGAAAAGTATTATATTACATACGATCCATACTTTCTCAAAACACATCATCAAGTTTAAGTGGATCTTTACAACGGGTTTATAAATAATCAATATCATACTCAGACAAATGCCACTCAATACTACCGTTTGCTGTAATGCAATCCACTCTCAACAGACAAATGCGTCCATTGTTTTATTACTCGACAAAACACCATCTATGCTGCAGCACCAAAAGCTCTGCCTTTACAGTAGGCTTCAACACCCTGAATACTTATTAGGACCCATACACAACAAACAAATGCAATGGCCCTGCTAACTCCCAACAGCAGCAAGCAACACCTCTATTTTGGTTTAACATGGAAATGGATGCCCTCATCCATATTGGAAATTTGGATTCACCAATAACTGGAACGGTTCAGTTCTATTCCAATACCCCAGCCTTCTTATAACTCTCCACAGCGTCCACCAGAGTTTCATGCAGTGAACGGTAGCTCCAACCTAGCCTTTGCAACTTCTCTGAGCTCATTTCTTTCTTCTCCTCACCAACTGTGAAGCTGCTACCCACAAAAAAAAAAAGTCAATCTTCCTTTCTTTTCGGACCAGAAGCCTTAATCTGGCGCTTCAGGCCAACTCAGCCATCCCAGCTTAGGATAGTTCCATGCATAATGAAATCGAAGCAAAGTAAAGAGTATGGAGATAAAGGGCTTACTTCTTAGGATAATTGTAGTTGGGACAATTCTCCTTCAAAATGTCAACCACCTCCTTAACATGGATAGAATGTGCTGTACATATGTATCTCCCTTGCGCCTCGGGCTTCTCATACACCAAAACCAACGCTTCAGCTACATCACGCACATCCACCACCCGATGATGCTTGTTCTCCTCCAAGTCCTTCCCTTCTGCACACGGCAGCAAAATGTAGTTCGTCAATGAGAAGCTATCATAGCCCAATGCAAACATCAAAACCCAGAAACCAACTTTGGAAGCATTTCAGCTACATGGATGTAAAGATATACATATAATCGCTCACAAGATAGTAATGGTTGGCTACCTTTCAAAAGCTTGGTGAGAACCATGGTGCTTGCGTTCACCGTAGACTGCAGAAGTGGCCCGATGATGAGATTGGGACACACACTTATTACATCAAGTCCGTTGGCTTTCGCATACTCCAATGCCTTGATCTCAGCCTCTGTCTTGGAGAGGTAGTACCAGTTCTGTATGAACCATCAACAGTATACATAAATTAACACAGCTCCTTATAATAGTTCAGATATAAAGCAAACATTCTTTTTTTGGTTCTCTTCGTACCATTACCACACTTAGTAATTAACTAAGAAGCTAAAAATGGACTCCTATCCATCCAACTAACTAATTCACATAACATTCCTTTAGAGATCATTTTCCGTCATGAGGATTCAAACAGAACAGCCACGAAAAGAGTATAGTAGTAAGCAGACCTCAGTAGTTCTGCAATATTCCGCGTCAGACCAGCAAGACTCATCCATAGGCTGAGTATCGGGCCAGGAAGGGTTCATAAAAACAGCAGCAGCAGAGGAAACATACACGACTCGCTTAACCTTGTTTTCGACGCATGCTTTCAGGACATTTAGGGTTCCAGTCACTGCTGGCTCAATTAACTCAACCTAAAAAAAACAGAGATCGTGTGAGAAAAAATTCGCTGCCTTTAGGTTGTTGGAAGCCGTAAATTGCAATCAATCGAAGAACCCAGGAGCAGGGAAGGGAGAAATAGGGAACTGGCCTGGGGGTTTGATACAGAGGAAGAAGGAACAGGGCTGGCAACGTGGAAAACTCCCGAACAGCCTTGAATCGCAGCGACCAGAGAAGGGTAATCAAGCAAATCGGCCTTCACGAGCTTCAGATTCTCGGATGCATTTGGGAGTTGCTTCAAGTGGGCATATTTCTCATCCACTGTGATAATTAGAAAGGGGAGGAAGTCAGACTCCGCCGGCGGGATTGCTGATTATAGACAGATGGAAGTGACAAAAGACTTACAGGGGTCTCTGACTGTGCCGCGGACTAGATAGTTTCTGGAGAGGAGGAGATGAGCAACCCAGGAGCCCAAGAAACCTCCGGCGCCGGTCACGCACACTGCTCCTTTCGCCGGCGACATGAGATCGGACTGAGAGAGATTGAGAAAGGACTGAGAGATGAGATTGTTGTCCACAGACTTTGCTGCTGCTGCCTTTAGGTGGGGGGATTTGGGGCCCAAATGCTGCACTGTGCTGAATCACATCATCTATCTGCCATCTCCAGGTGGCGTTTAGGCAAAGGCGCAACGCCATTGACGCACACAGCGACGGTTCTCTTCATTATTGGCTTTAAGTGCTTACCTACTGCTCTTGTTGGTGTTGTTGGACTCCATTGGTTTCACCTAACATTTGATTTCACATACCAAAGGTCCTACAAAACCCACACCCTTAAATTGCATTTCTAATCGATATCGATTTATTAGAGGTCCCCCATTCAAAACTAGCTCATGATCAAGCTGGAACCGACAACATTGTCGTGGGATGGACAGTAACATGCATTATGCAAACTATGATCTTTCCTTCTGATTCTCTGTACTTGCAGATCAATCCAGGTCTCTATGGTGACACTGCAACTCGGCATTTCATATACACAAGTGTAAGTTTCTTTATCACTCGTGCTAGCTAGGTACATTGATTTGATCTGGTTCCATCAACCTAAGAAAAGGGCTGTTCTGGTGCTGCTAAATACTTTTTTATCTAAACATTTCAGACCAAGGACTCGCATTGTTACAACACGTTCTGTCCCGGATTCGTAATCATGTCCCCCGACGTTCCTCTTGATGCTGTTCTTCAAGCTTCTGAAAGAGGAAATAACATAAGGGCCCAGAAAATTTTCGTCCGCAAGGATGCTGCAAGTGGGGATTGGTTTCTTCAAATAGGACTGGACAACACAACTGGGGAGGAGAAGCATACTCTGCCTCTTCCGACTCCGAGGATCTTCCACCGATGGGTTCTGGGTTCTCGCCTAGTTCCAAGTTCGATGGTTATGGCAGGCAAGTTTGTAGATGAGAACCAGCAAGTCGATTACAACTCACCAGAGTGTGTGATGAAGGCAATGTGGGAAGAGAGATCCAGCGTCCTATTGTGTTTGGTGGAAGCTCTGGTCCAGCTTGATCATGAGTTAGTTCTATCTGGTTTGGTTTGCTAGTTTTATACTGGAAATACTTCAAATAAAATCGAGCTTGATTCGAGATGCAATTTAAGGGTTAATAGCATTTTGTGGAGCTAGAATGTTAAATCTAACAGAAAATTTTGTCATTTTGGGTTTTGCCATTCAGCATTGTCTAAGGCCTTGTGGGAGTGAAATACCCTATCGCCTCAGCTGCATTATTTGGTTTCTACTCCGCCCAACACCATTGAAGAGTTCTCTTTTGTATAAAACTAGTATCAATACCCGCGGCTACGCCGCGAGACATTTAGTTGTGTTTAGTATATATAAAATCAATATAGTGTTAATGTAAATAGTTAGAAATTCTATGGAGAAAGCAAGTGCCATAATTTTGTTTAAGAACTTAGACATCTTGTTATGCAAGGCTTGTAAAGATTATCTACAAAGCATAAGACTACAAAGTTAACTTAAGCCCCATGTAAACCTTTCAAATTCAAAACCAAAATTACACCGAAGAAATACTTTGCAATTGGGCAAAGCAACACACACAATGATCAACCAAATATTCCACATGAAAGATACATCCACCTTCCTTTCGATATCCCTTCATTTTCATAATACTTGCTCGGCCCCAACAACGTCCTCTCCAGCTGGCTCCCCACCCGCAATACCTGGTCGTGGTTTGGAGTCACCTGCTACCTCGATCAGGTCATAGTCTAAATCCTAAGAAAGAACAAATTATATCCGTTCATACTGCCAAAAGACATGTAATTTTTTCTTCTAAACCTGCAACGCTTGTTCTACATCAGGCTGCTTCTGTAACAATAGCAGGGTGAATTTATCAGTGTCCCCATAAATATGTTGTTTCCTGGGGAAGTTGCCAACTTTATGGTGAGGCTATCAAACTATTTGGATTGGCTGGGAAAGAGTTCGCACATAAATGGGAATAAAACATCAGTGTAACTAACAATTCAGTTATTGTACTTTGTTTATGTAATTACCCCAACAGGTTAAGAAGCTTGTCCGTAAAGCTACTTGGATTCATTGTGAACAAAATTCTAATGCTGATGGCAAGAAATACTCACAGTAAAATCAAAGACCGTTGATCTCTTAAGAAATTGTACTTCTCCATTAAGTCTTCTTCTCGGAATTTGATGCGGCACAACTGAGACTCTCAGGGGTCAGGAAGACCTGCAACAAATACTGTGAACCTTTGTAAACTGTATGACATCAATGGAATCAAATTTCGAAAATAAAAAGAAATGAATATCATTTAATGAATGAAGAAACCCAATGAACTATTTTGACTCTATATATATGATCTCCATATAAGTAATGTGAGAGCAACAACTTCCACTCACCTGACTATATTAACAAAAATTTCAGAACTAATGTGTCCATCCCCTTGCCATATGAACTTTCTTCCCAACAGAGTTTGAAAGGCAGACATTATCAGAAATATATTTCTGTACCGCAAACCAGAGGAAAGTCATCTGCAGCATATAGCCAGCCACCATTCCTGACCATATCCCATTAACCAAGCTCGGATATGACACTAAGCATAGCTGCCAGAAGAAGGTCCTTTCACAAATTGATGAAAGATGTGCCCTTTCTTCCACTTCCTTCTCATAGGTCGATTGACAGTCATCATCCCTAGAGAAGGTGAAGGGTGAGACTGGACTCTTACCCAATTTATAGTAACGCACATCATTCACCCCCACATTTGCTAGTGGGCTCAACTGCTGATGATAACCTTAGACTTCCTTCTCAAGGAAAGGAGATATGCCTCTCCCGTCTGATAAGGATCTCCTGCAGCACGTTCATCTCCTCTTCATCACAGGAAAACGTTTCTTCCACCATCGTATGACTCTGCCTAAGCTCCATCTTCAATGATGCGTTCTCTTCTTGCAACAGCAATATCATGGCCATTGCTTCATCTGCGGCACTTGCAGCAGCAACTCTCTCCTCCAATTCTTGGTAAAGGGAAGCACGGGCAACTTTCTCTGCTTCAGGTGCTTGTTCCAGATTTCTGATAGTATTCAAGTGTTTTACCACGTTGTCCGCTACCCGCTTCGGCTATAGTGACAGATTTATAAAGAGATGATGACGAAGGCATCACATTGGTTCTATTCCCCTTTCCACATGGTTCAGCCGGAGCAAAACTGGATATCAAATTTTCAGCAGGACCAGGAGCATTCAGAAGTCCTAAAATAGCATAATAGCAAATGGTCTATTAACTATCACATTAGAAAGAGAAACTCCCATGAACAATAAACACAAAGAGATTGGACTCGACTTGAAGCGATATAAACACATTCACGTAAAGCTTCAAACCAACATATGTTGCAAATGAATTTGTGTTCTAACTGTGAACAGACTAACCATGAATAGTCCTTTAACAAAGAGGTTGCTAAACTATTAAGCCTATAAGTGGCTAGTTAGCTGAGCTCAGAAGTCGTGTCTCGCTTATTTGTTGATTGTTGGAGAATTGCTTGATATTGTACACATTTCTTTGGAACAGCAAATCATGCCTGAATCTTGGCCAGTAATGGAGATAACTACAACTCCCACGACTATCATTTAGCATAAAATATCACTATACCCTTCACTGAATGAGTGTAGGATTTTGATTCCCAACTCAAAATCAATACAAACATACAATTGGGCTCTAGTATAAAAAAGCTATGGAAATCACATTCTAGTAAGGGTTGCTGTCAAACCTCTACCAGTGGATCTTTTTTGGCTAGAAATTGGTGGATTTGAAGCTCGGAGAGAGATAAAAGGGAGCCAAGTTGCAACTGCTCCTCCATGCCGTTGAAACGATTTCTGCCTCTTCGTTACAAAGTCTAAGAAAATTGGGATATGGAAGAAAGGTTGGTTGATCGAGTGGTGCAGGGAGATAGAAAGTCCCACCAACATGTTTTTTGTGCCACTTGCAGGCAAGGTCGAGAATAGATGTTTAAGAACGCTGCCCGCCATCGCCGGTGACGAAGCTTCACCTAACACTATTTAGAAGGAGCGCGAGCATAGAATGGAAAAAGCATATAGCTTTGTAATATTACTTACGGCGGGGAGGAAATTAACCCTCGCAATAGCAAGAACTTCATTGAGATGGCCCAACAGCTGCTTAGGCGCAATTCCCTGCACAACACCCCCAGAAAATGAGGGCACAACTAAATTAGGCAAAGGGAAGATACATACAGCGCACATTAGGAAGTAAGGAGGGGGGAACTAACCAATTCGTCGGTCCACAGCGTGGAGTGCTCATAGAATCCGCCGGGTTGGCAGGGGTTTCCAGCCATCCATCCATATAGGCATTAGTCGCACAAAACCTTATACTTCCATGTGAGCTTGGAAAGGACGGTATGATTTATGAGGCCAACTTAGATTGTAAAGAGACGGAAGCCGAGAACTGGCCAGAGATGGGGGAGACCGCCAAAACAAAATAGGTCACAGAATTGATTGAGGTGGGAGAGGACGACAAAACCAAGCAATCCGGCTCCTAGGGTTGGGAGGACCATAATCAAGGTCACTGGAGCAGGTACAGTACTATTCATGGCCGCTTGCGTGTTTGGAAGAGGTTTCGGTAGCGGTGTCGTGTGTGAGCAAGAAAAGCGAACTGAAATCTGAAAAAGGTTAGACAGCGGTGAAGGATGGCAGGGCGAGGAAGATGGGATAGCGGCAGATCAGTGCGTACAGACGGTAAGGGGAGGCATGGCCGCTCGCTGGGATTAGGGAAGGCAGAGAGCTTCATAGGTGAGTGTAGAAGAGTTGAATAAGGAAGCTGTTTCTCGAAGCCCTTCACCGATTGTCGCTAAACGACACAGAATGAAACAGTAACCGAAGAAGTTGGGCAATAAAGTGTACCCACGTTTCATATATAAAAGAATGTAGTAAAATTGATTATTGACATGGAGAAAGGCCTTAACCATACAGTACACACATGTTTTTTCACAGTTTAGCATATCTCTTGAGATTATCAGCAGCTCCTTTGGCATGTTCGGGCACCGGCATGTTGCTTAAGAGAGTGACTCTGGATGATGAAACCAAAGACTTCTTGTTTGAGTTCGAAGGATCAACTTTCCAAATTTGCACCTCCCAGACCTGTTTATGGTTAACAAAGTAAACACATATCATTAGTATCTCAGCTCCAAGAAGGCCACCAAATGCAGGAGATATGGTCTGTTGTGGAGCTTCAAAGTAATTCAGCGCTTATCATCAAATAAACACATAGAATGTCTTTCAGGGACAGTTTGCCAATCAAGATACACGAATTCCAATGTCGAAATAGAGATCAGAAGATCAAGCCAAAGGGCTACCAATCTCCACAAAGAATGTCAGCAAGTTTCAGGCGGTGATCAATGAGACTATTGAAGATTCAGCTCAACGTTCATCAGCGCAAGCATCCGCATCATAGAAATGGAAAATAAGATAGATGATTAAAAAGAAGCAAGGAGCGAGTAAAATGTGAACCTGAATGGTTTTGCCAACATGGACAGGAGCGGCTTCAGCGACAACAAGATCCCCGAGATCAGCATGCTTCAAATGACTAATGCTGAGGTGAATGCCAGCAACCCTCTTATAACCTGATGCCATATGCGCCCCCATGCTAGCTAAAGACTCTGCCATCAACGCGGATACTCCACCGTGCAGCACCTTGAAAGGCTGCACACATTTTTCCGTTATCAGAAGGCGACCCGCGACTTTGCTTGGTGACAATTCCTCGATCTCAAACCCTAACAAGTGGAGAGGAGCATCTAGGTTGTCCATTTTTGGCGATGCAGATCGATGCTCCATTGTGATTTGTGAAATCTTATCTTCAACAATGCAGTTATACTTGTAATACAGTATCAGCAATACTTTTATCTGTACATCAATATCTCTTCCTCATATCCCTGACTGATTGCTGGAAGGCCTGCTCATAACAATGAACAACAGAATGAATCAAAAGTCGAAAAGAACCTATAAAGTGAACAATGCAGCATGAATCTCCAATGTTCCCACTTCAACGCAATCAGAAATTCGTTGATAAGCATTGAATAAGAACAGAATCCCCAAATTTCATACATTCGAAATGCCTTAGCAGGTAAAGATTTGATCTTTGTCCCGAAAGGCGCTTCTTGTTACAACCAACCAAGTCCCCATTTTTCTTTTGCATTATTAGTTTCTTCACAAACTCAGAACCAGATTCTTCAATCGTACATATTAGGAGCATCGTTGAATCCGCCACAGAATCGATTTCTCCAGCATTTTATCACAATTCAAAAAAATCAAATCAACTTTCGAGGTTACAAAAAAGAAAATCTATGTTGCCTCTCTACATAGAAACCTCCAAACAGCCTAATTCTAGAAAACCCAGTTTCAAATTTCGGTCGCATGCAAGTTGGCAATCGCCGGAAAGAATATAAAGTAAAAGAACAGAGAGGTGGGTAAGCTTTTCCCCCTTACCTGAGCTCCCACCAAATAGCACGACCTGTACCGGTCAACAGCAGGCGATCGGAGCCAATCTTTGACCAGGCGACGACCACGAGAACATTGGGAAAAAAACCCTTTTAACAGAGCGTTTCTCTTTATCGCCGGCGTCGACGTGGTCGGAGAAAATGCGGAGGAGAAACAGGGGAGACGATGAGGGAAAGATTGGGGTTGGTAGGAGGAGTGAAAAGGGGTGGTTGGCATTTGGATTGCTTCCCGCTAAGGTGGGGTTTTATAAGAGATGGAAATGGACAAATGGTGGTGTTTTCAAGATAGAATTGTGGATGAAAACCACAGAACCAGTGGATTTGGAGTGTTCAATTTTTCAGTTAGTTTTTGTCAGCAGGCTGTAATTTTCTCGGGCTCCTTTTCCCAAACTGTGTTCATTGCCGTCCACATCCTTGTGTTGAAACTTGAAAGACTGATGAAATGGTTAGTTGGATTTGAAGTAGGTAGCAGAATGCTTCGGATGTGATTTAGCAATGTAGGCTACCATCGAATCAAAGATACGTCATCTTTCTAGGTATAGGGTTAACCTAAATCTAAATATTAACTTCTAACTCAAACTAAAACTCGAGAATGTCTGAAAATGGTATAATATTTAAATCTAAATATCGAGCTCCGAATTAAACTCAAACCTGAGAATGTTTATAAGATTAGGACATGAATAATCCAAGGGTTAACACACCGTTGAACTCAAACCCCATCATGCCCAAACTCTAGGAGCCCCGCTAAACATATCAAATTGTCTAGGTTAAGATGCGTTGATAGAGACACTCACTTAGCAAGAGAATGCTAAAAAACGAGAGGCTTCACCTGTTAAGACAAGAAATTTTACAATATTTGTAAGCATTTAAGGTTGTCAAACCGGTTTATGCCAGTGTGCCGGTTTAGCAAGTGGAATGGTTCAACCGGTGGCACATATCGATTTGTGCCGGTTCATGCCGGTCAATATTACAAATAAAATTATAAATACTCATATTTAAACATGACATTTAACGTCAATACCTAAACATTAATACTTGAATCCAACAAATAACATCAATATTTAACTTTTATACTCATAAAATAAATAATAAAATAATTTTTATCAATTAAATTCTCTAAAATAAGATCCTTTTACTTAGAGATTCGTATATCGATCATACTAGTCATACCGGTGGTGCTACGCCGGTTTTATGACCGATATCGGTTGAACCCGGTACAATCAGTGACACGCCAACTGGCGTGACAACCACTAAGCATCCATATTTTCATATATGTGTTGAATCGTACCATAATATTGAAGTTTTGTACTATAAAGAAATTTATATGAATGCATAAGGATTCATAAAAGAATGAACCTACCTACCTCACCAACTAGGGGTGAACAAACACACCCGCAAACCGACCCACCCGACCCAACCCACCCGTATTTATCGCTAAAACGAAGGATTTGGGTTGGGTGAGGGTTTTCTTTTGTACAACCCGCCTCTTTTGGGTTGGATTTGGATTTTAGATTACACAACCCGTAGAACCCGACCCAACCCGTGTTCCAACTATTAGTATGAGTTCGGATCTAAAAAAATATTTATGTTGTATATAGTCATATACTTATGAGAAAATTAAGATATTTCGGCATGTTTTTCTCTCATGGTCTCTCTAATCTAATGCATTCTTCGACTTAAAGTTTAGACATGAATTGAATATAGTTATGATTCACGTAATCCTTTTTCTTGTGTACAATTTTAATAGAATAACATATTATGGATGCGTTTGTTTATAACATTTTTAGCCTATTTCAACAAATATTGTGAAAAAAACAAGACATATGTTGAAGTAGATCACATTTTATTAAAATTCAAACAACATTTGTAAATTTTGATACCTTTCACCTCGGTTAATTCGTTTGAAATTTTAATTAGTTATAAAATATTTTTATGATATAGAATAATTATATATTTTATGTTTGGTTGGGTTTTTACTTAAAAATATCGCCAACCCGACCCAACCCAATTAGAAACAAACCGTAGGGTTTAAATTTTTTTGGGTGGGTTTGGGTTTGATATTTCCCAAACCGTAGTGCATTGGTCGGGTGATTAAAATGACTAAACCCGAACCACCCGACCCATGTACACCCCTATCACCAACGCCTCCGTCGCCGTCACCGTGTACAACGCCGCGGCAATCCCGCTGCGTTTTTAAGCAAAGACCTCTCCATTTGTTTATTCAGGAAAAAAAACGTAATCGTAAAAGGAAAAAGAAACGTTTTATTTTCCAACTTATTAAGACCGCCACCAGGCAGCAGTGGCACAACGTGAATATCCTACAGCAGAGAGGGCATTTCCGTCACTTGAAATTATTTATCCTTTTCATTTTATTTTTCTTTCTACCCTCCACTCTCTCTCTCTCTCTCCAGTCCACGAGAAATTGAATTCCCAGTTTTCCCCAATTTCACACTTTTCACTTTCAGCTACTTTTCCTCTCCCAAAAATCCCAATCCATCTCTCTCCGCTACCTAATCCCCGATCCCTCCACAATCCCTAATTTCCATTTTCCATCGCCCCAACGATCTATCTTTTCCCGATACTTCCCCTCCATTGATTGCGATATCCAGCTCTCAGTTCAATTCCCGGTATACAATTCAACGCTCCATCTTTCGGGGACCCGATTTCCTGCGATTCCGTGTTCGAGTTCGCCAGGACTTTTGGTTGGCTACTTTTTCCTGGAGGTCTCGATTCGAGAGTGAGAGAGCAATGAAGATCGAGGAGCTGGACGATCCGGAGTGTAGAGATGAAGAGCGTGGCGTCTACGAGAAGCAGATGCAGCTTCAGATTGTTAGGGTTGACGCCAAGAGAGCCCTGGTTGGAGTTGGTGCTCGGATTCTTTTCTACCCCACGCTCTTCTATAATGTGTTTCGGAACAAAATCCAGGCTGAGTTCCGGTGGTGGGATGAAGTTGACCAGGTTGATCTTTCCTCCCTTTCTTTCTTCTCACTCTTTTGCTGCTCTGTTCTTGATGGAAGTTTGCGATCGGTCGATAGATCGGCTTACCGTTTGGGTGATTTCTTATTGTCACTTTATTTGGTTTATCTAGTGTTTGGTAGCTGAGAAACTGAAAGAGTTGTTTAGCTTCTGATGAGAAACTTCTAATTCCATAATTTGTTTTCCGTGTTCAAATGGGTTTCTTTGTGTAAGCCGGATGGTCTTCACGTCACTGCCGAGGAAAATAATTTTGATTGATGTTCTGGGTCATTTGGGTAGCCAATTTCCCAGCTTGAAATTTGGTTGTTGGGATTCAAGATGGCTACTTCTTGCAGCTGTAGAGAGTAATTGTTCACTTGATTTGAGCTTTTGTTCTTCTTTGGTTAGTATTGTGACCTGTAGTGTGTTCTTCGTTGTTTTCTCTGCAGTATCTACTTCTGGGTGCCGTCCCATTTCCTAAGGATGTTCCTCGGCTGAAGAAGCTCGGTGTTGGTGGAGTCATCACTCTTAATGAACCATACGAAACTTTGGTTCCATCAGCCTTGTATCGTGTGGGTTATTTTCTACCCTCCAACTGCTCCATTTGTGCTTGTGGTTCGATGTAGGTCTGTTTGGCGCCATCCTGGATGTATTAGTCTGAATTTCCTTCAATTTCTTTGTTTACAATCTGCTTCGGTTTTGAAGTAATGGCAATTCTATACTTGGGGAAACTGATGTTTGGTCAGCCATCTAATTGTGCCATGCCACGAGAGTAAAGTGGCAAACAAGCTGCTGTGTGGCTTCCTATTTGGAAGAGACCTTTAAGTTTTCTTCGTAACTTATTACCAAACCCAACGAATTCTCATGCTTGCTTTTGTGTTATGCGTGTTTGCAGGTCCATGGAATTGAACATCTAGTAATTCCAACAAGGGATTATCTCTTTGCCCCTTCTTTTGCGGATATTAGTCTGGCAGTAGACTTCATCCACAGTGAGTAAAGTTTTGTTGAAGTACCTGTGAATCCATTCTGTTTGGTTATTGTGTATTTACTAAACTTGATCCCTTCTCTATCTGGGTTTCAGAGAATGCATTGTGTTGCAAAACTACCTACGTTCATTGCAAAGCTGGGCGTGGAAGGAGTACAACCATTGTGCTCTGCTATTTGGTAAGGGCTGTTTTACATCGAGCTTCCCTTGTTGACCGCTCTTGCCTGCTATGACATTTATTAGTGTCGTTTTATATGTTTGCAGGTAAAGTATAAGCACATGACACCTGGTGCGGCCCTTGATTACGTTAGGTCTAGAAGACCTAGAGTGTTGCTAGCTCCAACGCAGTGGGAGGTAATTCATCACATTTTTTACAATTATGTTGGGAGGTTGAGCTTCTAGAGAAGGGTGATAAGTGATAATTGAGGGATGGTTGAACATCTTGTGGACAATGTGGTAAGATTGGGTTCACTGTACAACCTCTGCACTCTACTTATCTTTCCTTGGAAATATGCAGGCTGTTCAAGAATACAGCAGACGCAACTCACGCCGGTTATCTTCTACCACGTGGTCTCCATCTGGGGATGAGGTTCTCATTACAAAAGCAGATCTTGAAGGCTACCACAGCTCCTCCGACGATGGTGCTACTAGCACCGGTAAGGAATTGGCAATTGTACCAAGAATGAAGTCAAGGCCCATGATCGCCCGGTTGTCCTGCCTCTTCGCATCCTTGAAGGTATCCGGTGTCTCTGGGCCTGTTGCTGGTCGGATGCCCGAGGCACGTGCTTGCTAAATGATCCCGGGATACATCACACCGAACTGTCGCGAGAGGGTTGTGTTGTATTGTATAGAAATAAAGGCCATCATGTTTTTATGACCAAAGAATTATGAGAGAAACGAAAAGGAGGTAATTGTGTATGCTGCCATGACAATTGCCAGAAAAGAAAAAAAAAAAAGGCCTCACCAGCAGCTGCAGCTTGTACATAGCTTTGCCTTTTAGTTTATCATTTCAGCATTTGTTGCTTGCAAATGTGTTTTCCTCCACAGGGTTTTGCTAAATGAATAGTGATGTAGCTTCATCTTTGTAGCTTTAGTTGGTCTCTGTCACGTCGCCGCCATTGTACCGCTTTAGTTCAATTCAGATACCTTTGGTAGGATGTTCAGTCTCTAGTACCTGCAGGTTGCAGTTGCAGTGGTGTATTTTTGGAATATAGTTAGTACTGTTCTGATGAAGGCTAGAGGAAGATTCCTGGCGGGTTGGTGGAATATGCCCGAGGATCGATCTCTATGCTATAAACAGAACTTTGTGGTTTCCGGCAAGTGACAAAGAAGCTCTGGATTTATTTGCTGTGGAAAGGTAGGCGGTTTGATTTTACACCTTCACTCTCTTATCTGGTCTCTAAAATGCTGATCGGTTGCTTTCTGTTTAGGATTATGATTGATGATGAGAACTTTACACGGTATTGAATATTCGATCATCGTCTTTGAAATGATGTCATCGAACTGTCGTTTTTTTCTTGTTTGTTTGGGCCTTAGGATTGTGCTGTTGTGCCCAGTAGGTGATCTGACTCTGACTGTGGATAGCTTCGGCTTTGAGCGATTGGGCTTTCGGATTGGGCCGTTTCATCGTCGGCAAAAGAATGGTGTCTGACAGCAGTGACTCTACTATTCGTGGATACGTGCGGTGGGAGGTTGAGCTGATGGACTTTCATCACGCATTAGTTGGGTGTCCGTTCTTTTTTTTGAATTGGTCGCTTATTCTCACTCTATTCTTATTCTTATGAACTAACAAAGACGTTCATTTAGTGGTATAAATGGCTATTTCATCGATATATCGATTAGTAATGACTGTTGTTTGTTTGTATCTGTTGTACACATATCTATCGAATATTTCATCTGACTATAATATAAAAAAATGGCTAATCAAATCATCAAACAAGAGAGATAAGATAGGGATGTGAATGGAGTGGGCTTTCAATTTTTCATAAACCATTCTCATCTCTGTTTTTAGATATCCAAATTCATATTTGCTCCATATTTATGCGGGAAGTCAACCTCATTTATGTACCCATGGTTTTAGGGTACCTATGGGTAATACCCTCTTCGTATATCAAATATTGTTATTGTTATACCATATTACTATATCTAGTATTCAACCTGCAGATCTTCAGTTATAATACTAAGCGAACCTAATATTTCATGAAGTCAACAATACAATCGTTCTTAATACGAATTCAAAGCACTCAATCCTAAAACCTCGACTAATCCATAAACAAGACAATGGTATCTAAATCATTCATCTTCGACTCTGACACATGTACTAAGCAATAAATAAATAATACAATCTTGTTAACAACTAGGAAAGAAGTGATTGAGTGAAGGGTGAATGGAGGGAGAGAAATTATTGTTTAGCTTGAGTGGCCACTGAATTACATTTCGACTCTTTATTCTTTTTAATTATCTCGATGTCGTTGAGAGATTAAAATATGATCCTGTATTTTTTATATAAAAAAATACTCTTAATGGGACAAATGTGAATATGAAGAAGGGAAATCTAAAACCATACATGTCCCAACCATCAACCTTTTACGAATTTTACCAATACTCGTCTCATATTCATCAATCAAAGATTACAATAATCTAATAATTACCTCATCCTCATCCCAATTCACTCCACACACATTGATTAAAAATTAAAATAATCTAACCTCTGCTGGGATTGAGAGAGAGAGAGAGAGGGAGAGAGAGAGAGAATCCCAAAAAGGTAGGGGGCCATGTTGTGATATTCCCACTTTAGAAGCAGCACAGAGGCACAGAGAAGAATACTTGCTGCTGCAACTTCTTTTTGGGACCAAATCTCACCAATTTTAAGCTCTCACAGTGGTACTCTCCTTTTCCCCCACACCTCCTAACCCAAAATGCTGCAAAATCCCTCTTCCACTTTCAAAAGCAAATATCCAAAATCTTCCCCAAAAGCGAAAGAAATTGAATAACACCTTTTCTTCTACAGATGATATTTCATTCCTCAATCACAGATTATGATAATCCGTACAAGAGAATTAAAACAAATTTGTATGTATTTATAATTGAGGTGTTAGGAATGATCATGTGTCGAATTGTTGGGTAATTTGAGTCAATTCCTAGTATGACCCATATTTGTATTGAGTAAGATCCGAATGGATCCATATGCATTTTAATGATTTTGGGTTGGATTGAGTCCAATTTAAGTTAATGAAGGAATTACTTGAAATTCTACATAATGAAACTGCTTCAGATCATAATGAAGGAATTACTTGAAATTCTACATAATGAAGAACACATCCTTGCGCTAACAAAATTTGGATTTGAGAATCTCACCAAATATGCTGTTAAATGAAGTACGTACGTCATGTTAGGTAAATGTACAATAAAAAGAAAGCAGCATAACGTAACAAAGCTTGAAAAATTAAATGTACGATTTAGAAACTCTGTCACATCAAAGTTAAAGCTTATTCTTGTCTGCTTGCTTGCTTATTCCTTCTAATATTATGGTTCTTTTTTTCCCCTTTGCTTCACTTTGTTCCGATATTTATTTATATCCTATTCTGCATCTTTATTCCTTTACAATATTTCCCATGAATTTAGTTTATAGTTTGGTTCATGCATGCATACACACACTATAGAGACGAAAGAGATGGCAAACGCGTTATACTACTACTTTTTTTTATAAGAGTTATCTAGGTTTATTTTTTTATTATTATTAAGATACTATTAGATTGAGGAATTCAAACCGAGAACCTTCATATTTAAAACTAATGGTATTACCACTAGATGAAATTCTTGTTCGTCGATTACTTCTCTACAACTAGCGATTTCTTTCTCCAATGGGATAAGCACAATTTCTGCAATTCCTCTAAATCATGGCTTGCTCAAAAGAGGAAAAGAGCTCGAATCTATAATGGAATAGAATAAAATTGAAAGTAACTCAAAAGAAGTTTCCCTAGTAACCCCAAAATAACTTGCAAACAGGAAAAAAAGAGCGTTTTTGTAGCTTGCTATGGCCGGCCGGGCCATTAACGTCGACTTTGTTTCCTTCTAACAAGATTCTTTGTTGGTAATGGAAATATGGAATACATAAAAGTAAAACAGATTATCAACGAGAAGCAAGCAAGTTTTGTTTGTTATACTAGCTCTGGACTCAGAAAGCTAGGTCGTGGCCCGGGACACCCCTAGATCCGCCAGCGATGAACCATCCATATACCTGAAAGCTAGTTAATGGTTCGATATATGATCTAACCCCACTCAACATTATTGTACCAGAAACAGAACGAACCAACAAATTCGACGGTGCAAATAGTAAAGACATGGGTTTCGCATGACGTGCTCTCTTGTTCCATTTTTACGACCTATATCATTCTGATAAAAAAAATCTGTATGAGTGGTCATCGATAAAAGTAGTGTAAGCCCGAAACACTGGCTCCGATGTGTCGATTGAGTATTCCTAGTAACCGAGATAGTCTAGATCACATGTTTGGAGGTTCCAACATGTACTTTTACACACACATACTAGATTATTTACCATAATTGAGTGCATGTCGCAGTCGATGTGATAGATTTACAGCATGAGATTACTTTTTAGCCATGCATGGATTATTATTATATTAAGGGTGAGCTAAGGATGAATGACATGGTTATGGGTAAAATTAATAATTAGGTGTAGGGACATTATCATGATCAAAGCTTTGAAGTTTCTTTTTAGCCATGCATTCAAAGTAAGTTTGCTTTGTGTTCAAAACATGATCAATCGCAATAAGAGGTCCAATAGATGGGGAGAAATCGATTGTCTTGCCCTAATAATGGATGTCAATAAAAGTTGAAAAAAAGATTGGTGTGTCGCCACCACATTATCTTCCATGGTTAAGTAAATTGAAGTAATGATTCAGTCAAAAGGGGGGAAAATTAAAGAGAAGGTGTGGTGTCATATATACAAAAACCAAACGAAATGGAAAGGTAGATAATGTTGTTAATCGATCATCAAACTTTAGAGACATGAAAGAAAAATAATGCACCAAATTTTATGGTCATATTGGCCCCCTGGAACATGGTTGTTGATGTGGTATTGCATGGGTTAGAGAAAATGTCTGCTGATTAAGTATGAGAAATACAAATGATTAATCATAGTTAGGTGAGCAATTCATCCTAACAATTATTCAAGTAATTGGTTGTAACATGGTGTTATTGGTGTCCAAACAACCCGTGTTGTTACTGAATAGAGGTTGGTGCGCCCTTTAACCGCTCCGTTGTCTATAAAAAAAATAGTGAATCATCAGCCAAAAACTTCCCACAATCCGATCATACTATGTTCTTGAGTTACTAATATCAAGGGTTAACTAGAGGGTTTGAATACAATAATTGATCATTTAGGAATCGTAGACTGTGTAGGGATGATAGAGTACTTCTTGCCAGTTAAAGCTTAATTGTTAATAGCCCATGAATTTCTCACGTGGTCTGTCAATATGAAATTCTTCTAAGGTGTTACATTACACCCTCCCTTTGACAAATCTCACATCGACAAAATATTGGAGAGATTCCTAGTTCATAATGAACAACTCAACCTTAATTGTCAAAGCATGTTTTCAGGTGAAATGAATGAGTTCTTTTAGAAATTGAGAAGTTAAACATATTTATAGTGAAGTTAAACATATTTATAATGAAGCGGTACATAGATGAGTGGCTTCTAAGCACATCGTCATGATGCACCCAAAAACAAAATCGTGCGAGGTCAAATCCAAAGTGGGCAATATCTTGGTCAGGAAAGAAATTGAGATGTTACAAAAACTACTATATATGAAGGGTTTAGAAATTTATCAGAACCAGGTTATATCTCATCCATGAAATATGAAAAGGATTTAAGAGAAAAGAAAATCCAGAGAAAAGGATTGTACATCAGTTCTTTCTATCTCCAAGCAACTTCGTGGAGCATCTCTTTTGGTGGTTTAGTGAAAGTACAAGATAAAGAAGCATCAGGTTGTCCAGCTTCATTTTCAGACGAAGGAGAAATTATATGTGAAACCAAATTAAATCAACAGCCCACAAAAACTCAAATCTAAATAAATAAAATCTGAACTAGCTAGCAGAAACAAAATTGAATATATATATATATATATGATATATATAAGTAAATTTCCTATAAATTAATGAACAATTCTGTGATACTTTTGACTAGAGAAAATAAAAAAAAAAGAATTAGCTACAAAACACAAGAAAAATGTAGTAATTAATTCACAAAGAGCTCCTTTCACCCTCCCTGCATTTTTTTTTTTTGCACAAACTATGTGACACCTTTTTTTTCCCACACCCCTTCTTTTTTTCTTCTAGTTCCTTTTGCTCCTCTCATCCAAAGAACATTGCAAAGAACTTACAAAGACTGAGAAGAGAGATCCATCTACATACATGTGTCTTGGAAATAAATAAATGAACAAAAAGAAGATGATAGTGTAATGATGGTGGTGCTGATTTTCATGCTGCAAGAAGAGATTTTTAACCTAGCTTTTCTCTTCTTGTGGTCTTTTGGTCAGTTGTAGTAGAGGAAGATGGGTAAAACTAGGTAAAGAGATAGATAGAGAGAGAGAGAGGGCATCAGGCTTTCTTTTCTTCACTCTTTTTCTTCTTCCTTGGGTTCTCTTTTCTTTTCTTGGCTCTTTCCTTTCTTCTGTCCCTCTTTACCTTTCCTTTCTTTCCAGCATGGACAGTTAGTTCAGTTGAGAGCCATTTGAGACCTAAAGTATGACTGCCCCAATTCCCAAAGAGATCACAGAAAAAGAAAAAAAAAACCTCAACCAGAAACCCACAGAAAGAAACCAAACTCTAGAGAGAGGGCTCTTTCTCTTTGTTGGAAAGAACTAGAGAGGAAGCTAGAAATGGAGGCTTCAAGTACTAATGATGATGACAATGATGGTGTGTCTGTATATATTATATGGTGCAGGTTTCTCTGTTCTTTTTTTTTTTTAGGGTTTTGATAATAAGAAAACTATTTCTGTTTTTTTTTTTTTTACCCATGATGATCTTGGTTGTCAGGGTCTGGCCAGAAAGAAGAGTAGGTCTTCATCCATTCTGCTGCTTCTTGAGGGTTGGCAATGGAGGATTCCTGCAACCAAATGAGAAACAAAGAGATATTGGCCATTAGGGTTTTTCTCCCAAAGAGAAAGGTGGTAACAAACAAATAGAGGAAGCTTCTCTCGTTGTGTCCTTTTATATTTTAATCTCATTGGCAATCAAGTTGTCTCATATATGCTGGTGTTTGTGTTGAGGAGGACAACGCATGATAAAAGCTTTCAAGCTGCTATCATTGATGATCATCCACCTTTCCATTCAAAATGTTACATTAGATTACATTATCTATCTTAATGCATGAGACATTAATGTACATGGCTTTCCCTACACTCATTAGTTCGTATTCATTTAACCTTCTTACCGTAGGAAATATCGTTTTTATACAGTTGTCTCGACATATGGGAAGATGAGAGAGTTCGCGTATTACACGTCATGAAATCAAGATATTCGAGTTACAAAAACTACGACGGCACAACCATTCAACTAAGTTTATGTTGGCAAATTTCGACTTTTTTTTCTTTTGGGTGAGTTGGGAATATTTTAGCTCAATACCTAACTGAAATTTAACTCACTGTTATACCTCAAAAAATTATATGGCAATGCTAGGCATTATTCTTTCCAGTGAAGCATTGGAAAAGGGAGATGCTAACTCGCCTAGATTTCATGGTCTAGATTTCTTTTTCACGACCAACTTTTGTGCTTCAGATTATGCCTATAATATATAACCCTTCCAAAGCATGGATATGGGGGGAAAAAAGGAACAAAAGATAGATAAAGAGGAAAAAGAAGTAAAGGGTGTTGGGAGGCTGGGGGAAGGCTCGTGCATGGTTAATGCAGTGATCTTATATCTTAATCACTTAAAACTAATGCACTAATTTCAAAAAAATAAGAGCTCGAGTTATAATAATACTCTTAAAAAGCTCTTTTTTGTAATTAATAAAGAATAGAGACAATAATGTTTTTAAGGAGGTTTTGGTAGGAGATCACAGAATTCAAATTTACAACCTATCTAACGTTGAATTTTACACTACAACCAACTCGACTAAATTTTAACATATAACATATAATTACTTGAATTTAAACCCGAATCACCTCGAATAGATTCGAGCCGGAATCTTTCTCAAGTGAGTCTAAAAACTCGTCCTATTTTGATCCTCAGCTAACTCAGATCAAATTTTAACCTCAAAAACCCTAAATTATAAATACCGTAATTTTAAACCTAGACACTTCTAAATTTAACAAGTGTTTGTGAAACCGTAATGTAGCGGTCAACCGAAATCTAAACCGCTAGACAATTTTCAGTGATACAAACTGTCGAACCACAGATAAACTACAGTTTCAGTATAAAATATCTTACCGCTAACTTTTCCTATATAACTTCCGATACGATTTTACAATCCTTAGTTTTAACCCTCTAAAATCCTTTTTCTTTTGTTTTGAAAAGATGCTTCCTTGCAATCCTTCCCAAGACCACCTTTTCGCTTTCCTCCCATTTCCCTAAACTCATTGCTGTCTTTTATATGATTTGAAGCTTGGGAAAATCATGACCAGAAGAAAAGAAAAAAAAAAGAGACAATGTGGTGGTGGGGGAAAACTCAAAAAAGACACAAACATGGAATTCAGGGTCAAAAAGGTTTGGTTCAGATAATATAATGCTTTATCACTCACTCACTCACTTACTTCTTTAATATCAGAGGCCGCCGACGACGAAGTGCACCCCATTATGAGCTCTTCCAGGCCAGACGCCGACCTCCCTCCGACCATCTTATGATGCCGCTGCTGCTCTTCCTGCTGCTGCTGCTGCTGTTTCCATTCAAAAGACACCCACAAAAATGGGAACACAAACAAACAAACATAGAGTATCAGTAGTCATTTCAATCATAATGTCTTCCAAAGTGAAATGAGCAGCACATGCATTGGTAAGTTAAGAAACTCGGTGGAGTCCATTGGAGAGTTTGGTGATAATGAAAATCGATCGAGCGAGTCAGTTACTCGAACGTAACTCAGTCGAGGACAAAAGGAAAAGGGTAAAAAAAGAAAGGAAGAAGAAAAAGGAAAGGGGCAGACAGAGACAGAGACAGAGAAAGAGAAGACACATGGTATATGCCAATTTGGTTGTATTAGTAGTATATGAGCCTACTTCTACGATAAGCAATCCCCCCAAAAGTACTACTGGGGACTATAGGCGTATTTTAAACTATATATATATATATATATCATGTTATGGGGACCAAAGAGTAGATGAAGAAAAAAAAATGGAAGTTTCTTTGTCTAGGGAGAGAAAGAGGTGAGGTGTCTAGCTGGTACGAATGGCAATGGGGCAAGTTGAAACAGACATGTCGAGATTGCGCAGATCGATCGATCCATAAGAATATGTATTTTAGGGAGGGAAATACTTGAAACATTGATTTTGTTCATTAAAAATCGAGAAACATATTATGACATGATAAATGTAATTGAATTATTCGCGAAATTGAGATTCTCGCGTACTTATAACTTCATATACTGTGGCTAATATATAATGTAATAAAAAAATCTTAAATGAGTCCAGTAAAATTACATGTAATTTAGAGAGGGGAAAAAAACGAGTTGAGAATGGGAAGAGTCAAGACAAATAAGAATTGATGAGAATATATATACATGTTTGCTCCGCTCCTTATGGTATGATTATTTATCCTCCTAAAACACATCAATCAGATAGAGTAAGACGAGTCATGTCAAAATCGTCATCCATTTGGAGGGAAAAAAAACTACCTCTTGAACCATGGTGTATGTGTTTCATTATAAATCTCAAGTTATTGCTTCACCATTGGAGGCAAAAACTCTCTACCCATTAGCTTGTTTAGTTAGTGTTATATTTTCACTTACAAGAAATAAAGATTTAAGTTCGGACCTTAGAGTCAACAACGTTGCGACGACGAAGTTGTAACGTGAACACACATTTAAGAGAGTGTACGAACCTGGTGGATCTCGTTGTGGAGCATGAGGCGGGAGACATGGTAGGGATCCTGGTCGAGGATGATGGAGGTGTGGTGGATCGGCGGCGGCGAGATGATCGCCGATATCGGCGGCGACGGCCTGCTTATGTGGAACGCCGCCGCCGCCGAAGTTGCAGCTATGTTCTGATGATGGTGATGCCCTAGTGCGACTGCATGGCGCTGCTGCTGCTGCTGCTGATGTGGATGGTCGTGGGCCAGATGTTGATGATGATGTGGCGTCGTCTGATGATGATGTGGATTTTGATGATGATGATGATGGTGATCTCCGATCTCATCGCACGTGCCGGACGTTTGGGCCGGCCCGCCTTCCCTTGCCGTCGAAGCCTCTCCTCCTCCACCTGTTACCACCATCCCCACCTGAAAATTGATATCCCATTCCCACGCACGTTATATATTATTTCATTATCATGCCTAATGTCTAACTATGCGAAATGAAATTGCACCATACAATTATGAAATTAGATAGGAGATTATGTCAAACAGATTAGCATAATGGTATATAATTAGCGGTACAATCATATGATTTAATCAGGTAGTACATATAAAGATAGGTTATTATCGTTAAATAATACTAAAACAGAAATAATATATTCGATGATATACCGGCATAGTACTGATCAAAATTGAGAAACCCACTAATAAATAGTTTTGATCGACAATGTTTGCATCGATCAATACAAACAGTTTAATGGTCTAATCACCGGTACGATGCCACAAACCTATACTAAATATAGTTTGCTAGCTAGCTAGTCTATTTTCATCTCTCTTGCATTAACACTTACTATATGTACCCTTTTTCTTTGATGCTAATTGCTTTTAACTTGCCCCCCTCATCAGCTTTATGTCTTTGTTTGAATGTTTGGTTCCCATCTCACTTAACCACTAGACCTTTTTTTGACTGTTAAGGCTAACCACATTACCATAGCTTTAGCTTAAGTTAGCTGCCAAAGGATAATCAAGTGAGGTCCATGGCACTGCATTTTCATGCTGAACTTGCAAGCAATGGGAATATATGCCATCAACTAAAAGCAAAAAAAAATCAAAGAAACCCCCTTTTCTAAATTCCCCTCTGAGCCCTTTTACTTGCTTTAGTTAAACCCCTCCTCTTCCTCTACCCTACTCTCTACTATTATCTCTCGACCCATAACACTATACGACAAAAAGCAGTAAACTTGAATTTTTCAAGAACTAGTTAGTTTCGATAAGTCGTAGAGATAGATGAATGTATGTACCTCATCAAACCCACTTTTCCTGAAGTGCGTGAACCCGAAATGATGATGTTGATCATGAGACTTCATCTGCTGCGCGATCTCCATGGGAGTAGAGTAACTCGACATAACCGCCGCAACAGCTCCATGAAGCTGATCAAGACCACTCTCCCTCTGACCGTGATGGATGATAACTTCCTTCGAAGAAGAACAACTCCCGCTCGTGCTTCCTTCTCCTCCACCACCACCACCACCAACCGCCATCAACCCAACATTGCCACCGCCGCCAACACCACTCCGATCGACCCAGTTGCACTGTCTGGGCTGGGTCTGGTAAAATATCTTGGATACCACTAGCTCGCCTTCTTTCTCCTCCTCGTGTTGTCCCAAGTGGTACTGGTGCATGACCCAGTTGGTCTTTTCGGGTTTCCGGTTCTTGCCGAAGTTGGTGTAGAGAACCAAGATCTTCTTGCAACCCTTCTGCTTGCCGTTGACCATGACGGGTCGGGTTTTCCCCGTTTTGTGCCACCGGGTTTCACCGCCTTGGAGGTCGCACTCGTTCTGTATCTTCCTGCGCTTTCTTGTCCCCGTGGTGTAAGCTTTCGATGGCCTGTGGAAGAAATGCCTGCTCAAACCGTCTCTTGTCACTCCTGTGAAAGAAGGGAAAGAAAATGCCAAGCCAAAAAAAAAAATGGCCACAAAAATCAAAGTTAGGTTCACGTAGGTATAACAACTATAATGTGACTGAGATGTCGATCGATCTCACGCAAGCAAAAGAACATGTAAATGACAAAAAAAAATAGTTTTATTAATAAAAGAGATTGAGTAAGGGTGGAAGCAATAACACAATCAATAAATATTGAAGTAACAAAAAAAAAAAAGATTTTTTATACGACGAAGAACAAGGGATTGGTCTGGTGATGGTTGTTTAATTAATTTTACCGGGGAGTTTCTCTGGATGGGTGTAACAGATGCCATCCTCACCCTCGATGGTGGGGATGAACTCGTCGATGAGAGGGTGAGATTTCATGTCGTGTTTGGCCTCGACCTTGGCCTCGAGGTGCTCGATCAGCTCCTGATCGGTCGGATCGAATTTTACCCCAGCTGGCAGACCTAACCAATCCTGCTTTCCCCGCGACCAATATCGAACACACCCACACAAAAAAAAAAAAAATCAGAAGGTTTGGATTGAAAGTCGAAAAGGAAAAAAAGAAAGAAAACCGGAGATGGGAACTAAATATTATATTACATACCGGCTTGACGAGCTTGTGGCCGCAGCCGGGGCAGTGCTTGGATCCGGCGCAGAGCTGGTGCTCCTCGAGCTTGGCGTCGATGAGATCGGAGCTGCTGATGGCCGCTGAGGCCGAACCCATGTTGCTCTTGCTGCTACCGCTGCTCATCGAGCTCTTCTCCATAATAATATATGAAATGATAGTGCTATGATGATGACGACGATGGTGGTGGTGTTCTTTCCCTCAAGCTCTTGAAGTCTTGTATGAAACTATCGTTCACCCTCCCTCTCATATCCCTCTTTCTCTCTTCTTCCGGTGGAAAGAGAAGGAGGAGGAAACCGAAAGAGGGAAGAGAGGAAAACGGATGGAGAAACGGGGAGAGCTTTATGAGTGAAAGAAGGTGAGGGAAGGGGAGAAGAGAGAAATGGATCCCCTGGTTTTCTCCTCTAAAGGGTTTTCCTTTCCTTTTCCTTTGCTTTGCTCCCAACTTTAACTGAAGAGGCGGCAGAGAGGATAGAGAGAGAGAGAGCTAGCTCTCCCCAGCTCCTTCCAAACAGAAAGGGGGAAAGGGAAGGGGGAAAAGAAAGGTGGTGGTGTGCTCTGCCAGCCACCAGCCTAGGCCTTCACTTCTTCTCTTCTGATCTATTACAAAAACTATGTCTCCCTCTCTCTCTCTCTAGAATTTACCTAGCGTGGAGGTAAGGTTAATTATGGAGAGGCGGTGTGTGAGAAAGCAAAAGGAGGAGAGGGAGAAGGAGAGAAGAGGATAGATATTTCCAAAAGAACAAAAGAGGAGATTTAGGGGGAATGATGTATTATAAGAAAGAAAATATAACTGGAAATACTGGTTTTGATGTTTAATTATTCTGTACAAAAGCAACCACACACCCCTAGGAGTGGCTATACGGTCTGGTCCGGTTAAATTGACACAAATTGATCCGGTCCTGTTCGGTTTTTTTTTTGAAAATATAAGGACCAAAGATTGGATTGGATACAGTCCGATCTTGACCTGGTCAGGTCCCAATTCGGTCTTGATTTTATATTGAGCTTGTGGGGATTTGAGTGACCTGAGGTCTGAAAGGGTGAGGAGTTGGTTAAGTTTTGTACTAAGTGCAAAGGTTGTGCGACCGTTTATGCAAATTACTCTTCAGTTTTGGGTGTTGAGCTCTCTTATCCGGTCTTTATCCAGCTTTCGATCCGGTCCCGAACGGTTTTTCACCTCAAATCTAAGTCAAAAATTGGATTGGATTGTTTACTATCCGGTCCCGGCCCGGTCTCGGTCCGGGTTATACGGTCCAAGTTCGAGTAAAACCAAAAAACCCAGACCAAATAGCCAGCCCTACCTTAAAGCTTTCTTTTTTTTCCTATTAATTATTTAGTGTATTTTTAGGATATTAGTGACTAACTGTTCATCGAAGATTGTTATATGTACAAAGAGACAGATGGAGGTAGCAAATTGAGTTATATTCTCACGATTATAGACTAATATCTTAGTATGAAGATAAAAAGAATGAGACAACCAACCACCATATTACCAACCCAATTAGGCTCAGCTTTTTTTTGGTTCAAGTTGATTTCATAATCTTCTTTTCATTTTTTGGAATCTAACTTCAGATGGATGGACATCCCGTTTTAATCCTAGAATTATACCTACTTTATAATTAATAAACTGGTATTCTTAATACCTATTATTTTTCTTTCAATAAAAATTTAAAAACTTGTGAGGTCACTAGAGCCATTTCACACGCTTACATAGTATAATAACTTCATAAGGAGAAGGAAAAAAGATAATATCTTTTCCTTGCAGCAAATAATAATTTTGGAGCCGCTTTAACATCTGAAATTTTCATTTGATTCGTAAAAAAAAGAATTCATTTGTTTTGTTAAATACTTTTCTGTACAACCTGTTCAAAAATATTCCTTTTCCGACATTTTTCATCGAATACACTTCGACTTGTGCTATTTATACGCATTATCGATTTCTACAATCGATCTCCAATCCAACCGAACCATGTATAATTCCTTTGGTTCAATAATTCTTCTCTTCCTTATTAATCTTTTTCTACTTTTTATTTTGTTAAAAAAAAAAAGTTACAAAAGGTTGGTCTTGGGGAGGTTGCTTGACTAGTAAAGCAAAAGGAAAAGAAACGGCCATCTCTCTCTCTCTTGCTAGCTAGCTGCCTGTTTCTTGCTATACCAATTCCATACCCAACACATTTTCCAAACCCCCCACTCTTCTGTCTATTCTTCTTATTAAACTTATACTAATAAGTACCATACAATAATATGGTATAAATAATTTTCATTACTTGTTTCATATTAAAGTGGGTAAAAGTGAAAAGTAACTAGTTCATAATTTGTTTGTGTATTGAGTAGCATATACGTGATCAGGGTAAAAAACTAATAATTAAATAAATTCATTTTCTGTAAATGAACAATGGTTAAAAGGTAAAAAAAATGGAGAGAAAAGAGATCATTTTCCTTTTGGAGAGACTAGAGAGAGAGAGAGAGAGAGTCACATGGGGATTGATGTGGGAGTGGTGATCATCATTCTTTCAGAGCCATGAATGTTCCTCTGATCTAGAGAGAGAGAGAGAGAGAGAGAGAGAGAGAGAGTGGAAATAAAAACAAGAAAGAATTAGCAAAGGGGAGGGGGAGAGGGGAGATTGCTTGAAATGCAAGGCAATTGAGCAGTGTGTACTTGATGGACCAGAGACCACCACCATCCTTTCTTTATTTATGTATTAACTATTAACTCATCCATGGATGTACTGCATAATTAGCACACTGACAATTACAAACAAACAAAAATACAATTGACTACACACTAGGTACTAAACTATTTAAAAAAAAAAACTAAACCAAAACCCCCCACTAATTAACCATCAATACAAGCAAGCAATGTTAATCCAACACCATAGCCAATTTAATTACCCATCCATCTGGACTGAGTCATATCTTTAATTAGGAATATCATTTTATGAATTGGTGCCTAGTTTTTACTCACCAGAAGGGAGTTCATTCAGAAGTAATGTACTTGCTCTAATGATAAAAGTAAAATAGTGTGTAGTCTACATTGTAGAATGTGGTGACGGAAGAAAAATTAATTCTTTGTTTCGATGAGAGAAAGGAAAACGAAGGGGTGAGATGAATTTTGAAGGAGTTCATTCAGAAGTAATGTACCTGCTCTAATGATAAAACTAAAATAGTGGCCGTTGAAGGTACATATGCAAACCGTAGAAACAAGTTTTCAAGGGAAATAGAATGTGGTCTGCCATCAGGTCTGAAGCAAAACAAAGGCAATAGTTCTTGGGGAGAAACCCTCGCGTAATCGCAGCTAGTTGGTTGAGACGATTTTCCTCCTTAAAGGCCAACCAAGTGAAGTTCGTGACTCGTGAGTCTTGCTGGAGAGTTTGGGCTGTGATTTGGTGGAATTTGGGTTGTGATTTTTCTGGACTAGTAGATGTGGCATTGGAAGGGGGCAAAGCTACACATTTGATCATTTTGAAGAAATTCTTAAACAATAAAGTCGATGTGAAATTTTCATACCGAATAAAAGAGAAATTTTGGAATTTTATCTTGAGAGATATAAATAGGTACTTATAAAAGCGATAATAGGTAAGATTTCACCTCTTGGCATGTTCTACCTTATAGCTAGAAGCTCATTTCATCACATGAGAGTTTCTTAGTTTATCTGAACAATAGAATGAGATTTAATTATCTTTTCGATTCGAATTTCACAATTGCGTGCTACTAGAACACTCTATTATGCCTCTTCATCCACCATAAATGAACTACAAAGCTTCGGTATCTATTTATGTACTTGTAATTTTCTTTCTTTTATTATATAGTACCGAAAGTAGCTCGTAATTTATGAGTTTCGTATCATTATTATTTTTGAAGTGTTTTGTATCATTGTTTAATACAACCGCATAATCATACATTAACATATATTGAGTGTTAGAAAACTTATAACTTTTCATCCGATGAATATAACTCATCTATCGACTATCATTGTCAATGTGTACATGTATATATTGTTTAGCTAGCTACAAAGGCATCTTGAAGTTATTCTTGTTTACTAAAACGTAGTTGAGTCCTGGTTAGATCAAACCTCATTTTTCTGGAATATTAAAAACATAAACTTTCAATAATCAGTGATTTTTATAAATACCAATTGACCTTATGAGTACGCCTCCCAATTTTCTAACCATCTTTCTGTCCAACCGGCGAATATAGTTCATCATTATTCGTGGAGGAGGAGAGGCAGGTTGAACGTTGACCAAATCTATCAAGGAAATTGGATTCTAATTCATGTTAATAAGTTTGCACACATTCCTTGTCAATAGGCAAATGTTATTGTTAAGGATCATCGAAGATTTGAATACGAGACCTATCAATAAAGTTTGAAGGATTTGAACTCCAGTATAGTCAATCACTTGAAACCTTGTCAATAATTATTGTACTTTCCAAATTCATTACAAGCTCCATGTTTTTTTTCTAAATATAACATGGAAATTAGCCTCGCTCTTAACAATGGCGAAGCCAACTTGTTAAAAGGTGGGTCTCGAGATCTATCTTAGCTCTGGATTAAGATATCGATAATAACAATCTTTGTAAGCGATCCATAATACTCTAATTCATACCTCATGTTCACTAGTTTAACCTGTCTACCAACAGAATGCAGAGAACTTTGCGACATGCATCATCCTTGCATATTATATAAATAACTCTAAATTTTACATGAATTGTTTCTTTAATTGTTTGTTCTAAATTTACTAATTCATACTTTAAAGTCGAATTATCCACCCTCAAACGAAAATATGTCGACAAACTATGTGTCGTGGGTCATTTAAATACTAATAAAATTCATTTGAAATATTTTGACTTTTACATCTGACCCACCTTGAGAAAAGTTCTAGCTACAGTACCGGCGCTTACTAGTTACCAAAACACAGCTATGTCACTACTTGTAAGTTATATATATGTGTTGAGAGTACGACTGCAAATGAGCCCAGTCGAGCCGAGTTTTGATCTAATTTGAGCTCGGTTCGTCAATAAATAAGTCAAGCTCGAGCTCGACTTGCTTACTAAAACCTTGGCTAGTGTTTACTTGATCTCACGAGCTCTACTCGAGCTCGACTAAGATATCATATCATTTAGTTAATAACTTTTAATTTTTCATATCATGTTATTTGATAGTAACTAGTATCTGTGCAATCTATAATACATAATTTCTCTTTTAAATTATAAATGAGACATATTTGATCACGTGCTCAAATTCTTACATATCATGTGTGGTGAGATACACAATCTAACAAACCTATGAATTATCAACAAACCAATAATAAGTTATTTACTGATTCGCTTGTAAGTTGCTAGTTGATGTGGCTCGGTCTAGCCATATGCCGAGCCAACTCATAGCTCAAAACGAGCTAGCGCAC